TGTTGGCTTAATAATATTTCATAATGATTCACTAAATGCTAATAAAAAATAACAATAAAAACAACAGTATACCAGGGTGGCCTATAGCCAACCTCTAATAGTGGCAGCAGAAAACATTTGACTACTTATTTTTTTAATCTATGTTTATGTTTTGTTTATTTCTAGTTATATATTTTTTCTCTTAATAATTAATATGTAACGTCAGACTTCGAGGTTCTCCTCCCTCTGAAACAGGTTTTGTTATTTCGCAGACTCTTCCTGTATGACGTTTGTTGTTCCTCATATTCTACATATCTATTATGCATAATTAATTCTCATTCCAAAATAAAATTATATTTTTTTTCTGTTCACCAAAACAGGAATAAACTTGTTCTTTTCATGATGGATAATTACCCACCCAATGCTCATTTTTATATTTGGAGGTCTCAAATATCTTCACTTAAAATTGCTAAAATTAGTTCTTTAAAACCTTTCGAACCGTGCAAAAGTATTGAATATGTTTTTGTAGTGTTGTGGGGTTTTTGTATTCTTTTTTTCGCATTGATCTGAAAATAATATTAAAAAAAGTAAAGAACTGAAATTAATTATTGGTGATTATATTCACGTGTAAAAACGAAGCAAACAAAGAGAGTGCGATCGATTGTCGCCGAACAAAAGAATTATTAATAAACAACATTGCAACAAAATAAAAAAATATTCAAATTAGTATTTTTTGTTATTCTTGCTTTTTGTAAATTAATTTATTTCAAAGTAATGCATTACAAAACAACAGTGTTGTAGTTGTTTTTGGAAATCGAACCACACAATAAAATATATAATCAGAAACAAAAACAACACCAGGAAGAATACTTTTATATCGGAATACTTGAAATGTGTATCCCAACCAATACGCGTGGATTTTATAAATAATATTTTTTGGAACACCATCTGTTCTATAAGCATGGATTTTTAAAGGACATTTTTCAAGGACTATCTGAGCTAAAATCGTGGATTTTTTAAGAATATTTTTGAAGCATCTGACCTCTAGGCGTGGATTTTCTAAAGAATATTTTTCAAGTACCATCTAACCCCTAGGCCTGGATTTCTTAAGGAATATTTTTCAAGCACTATCAGAGTTTTAGTCGTGGATTTTTTAAAGAATATTTTTCAAGCACCATCAGACCTCTAGGCGTGGATTTTTTTAAGAATATTTTTCAAGCACCATCAGACTTCTAGTCGTGAATTTTTTAAAGAATATTTTTCAAGCACCATCAGACTTCTAGTCGTGGATTTTTGAAAGAATAATTTTCAAGCACCATCAGACTTCTAGTCGTGGAGTTTTGAAAGAATACTTTTCAAGCACCATCAGATCTTTAGGTCTATTCAGCCTGGCTGAATATAGTTTTCTATCTTCTATTCAGCCCGGCCGAAAAAGGTTTTCTTTGGAAAAACCTCTATTCAGCCTGGCTGAAAAAGGTTTTCTTTAGGAAAACCTTTATTCAGCTTGGCTGTAAACATCTATTCAGCCTGGCTGAATTTAATATCTTAGCCATTTTTTCTGCAAAAAATGCCAACTATTCCATTGACTATCTTCATCTACCTATCTTCTCACAAATTGAAACATTTTAACTTAATTATTTGCCATAATTACAACAAATGACCGGCCTTTGACTCAAGTCAAAGGCATGGCCAATAAAACATTTATAGGTTTTAATGTCTGTTCACATTATGTATGTAGTTTGTACAATTACGACCTAACATAAAAAACAAAACATACAAATCTGGACGAACGCTATTAAAACAATGCCAGTTGTTGTAAACAACAACAAAAGCAACATCACCATTCAAGTTGAAAAGAATTGCTAATTGTTCTGAAGGTTTCACCTAACCACCACCACAAACATTTGAAATGTTTTGTGTGGGGGGTCGGACGAATGAAACGGAACAGAACTAATAATGAAGACGCGCATATTGTTTTTTTCCAACGCCAGTCACAGTTGTTGTGGGGGTATGTAAAGAAAAAAAAATTGAAACATTCCCAGACCCCAGACAACGAAGAGCCAGTGACGAGGTATCCAATGAAATAAAAAAAAAATAAACAACTTCCTAAACACTACCCACCAACGCTGGCGTTGTAGAAATACAAAAATCAACAACAACAAGTGCGAAGAAGGCGTAATGACCGTAAACTTCGTTTATAGTCCCAGCAGAACATCTGGCGGCGCATATTGAAGTAAATGGCCGAATATTTTAGTTTTCAATGAAACAAAAAATTCAAAATTTAAAATAAATAAAAATAACATATTTAATTATGGGTCGATTACGGATGGCAACCGTAGTTTAGTTGTGTTGCCAGTTGCCAAATTTGCATTATGGATGGCAACTGTTGTCAACTTCAGTTGCTTCAAATCGAATTTTTCGGCAACCATTTATTTCTGGTTGCTGTTTATAATAACTGAACTTTGTAGGCTTCCCATAATGGTTAATATTACTACAAAAGAACAATTTGAGGTTCTTATTGTCCGGATGGAAGCTCACCCAAATGTAGCACGCGACGTGCGGACTTTTGGTCAAACCAAAGCCACTGTCGATGATGTGTGGAAGGCCATTTCAGAAGACATTAACTGCTATGGCCCACCAACACGCATTCCAAATTAATGGCAGAAAGTGGCGAAAATCTTCTTTTGGGTCCATGATATGTAAGTGTGTATCATCAATACATCCGACAACCCCCTGGAACTTTTCGAATACAAAATGTTTATTCTTCCCTTTTTCCTCCTCCGTTAATTTGGATACAATCAAAATTTTACACAGTTTTTCCTCTATTAGCCGGATAACTTCGGCGAAAACCACCGACATTGTCGGTTGAGCCATGCCAAGGTTGAAGTCATTGCTATGGGACTTTTGAAAACTTCCCTCCACAAAAAACATTAGGGCTGCACACATTTTTAAGAGAGGAGAGTTGCTGTTGACCGCCAGGCTATTCGGAAATCAGGGTTTAAGACTTTATCTATGTACACAACGGCATCTTTTGGTAGTCGAAAATACGCCTTCAAGCTAATATGAGCAGTTGATTGAATATTTCTCTAAACGTCAGCATCTACTCACAGAAGTAATGACACACCTTGAACATAATTTTCATCATCAAAAAATAGTTCCATTGAGCTTATCATCACATATAATTAGTTTTTCTGAAATATTTTATTCATTTTTTTGTTTGTTTACAACATTTCTAGTTGTAGAAATGTCAAAACAGTATTATCGACAGCAACTGAGAAAAGTTGATATTCATAATGTTAAGTTTTATTTCAATTGCGTTGCCAGTTGAACTCGCAACTGGAGTTTGGTTGCTATCCATAATCGACCCATTAGATACATTATTTGTATGAAATTAATGAGAAACATTTTGGAGAGAGACAGAGGAAAGATAATCTATAAAAACACAACAGCTATACTAATACATTTTTATGTAAAATTTACAGAATATTTCTACTATGCGGAACACACTATTCTCATATCTAAAGACAATGGAATAATAATAACAACAACTTTGAGATCTATATTTTTTCTAAAACAAAAACATGATTTGTTGTTTACAAACTCAACAAAAATAAATGCGTAATTTAATTGAATGGAAATGTTGTTTTTTATGCTCGCTCACAGACAACTACGCATAAATGAAATTATAATAAAAATAATAGCAAAGCACTATTCAGCGACTTTTCCTATAGGAAAACATCTTTACAACCCTGAGGAATAATGGTTTCAATGGGAAAATATCTTTTCAGCCTTATTCATCCAGGCTGAATAGATGTTTTCCAATAGAAAACCTCATTCAGTCAGGCTGAATAGATGTTTTCCAATAGAAGACCTTATTCAGGCAGGCTGAATAGATGTTTTCCTATAGAAAATCACTATTCAGTCAGTTGAATATATGTTTTCCAATAGAAAACCACTATTCAGCCAGGCTGAAAAGATGTTTTCCTACAAAAAACCACTATTCAGCCAGGCTGAATAGATGTTTTCCTACAGAAAACCACTATTCAGCCAGGCTGAATAGAAAAGTTTTCCTACTGAAAACCTTATTCAGCCAGTCTGATTAGGTGTTTTCCCATAGAAATCCTTATTTAGCCAGTCTGAATAGATGTTTTCCGATAGAAAACCTTATTCAGCCTGGCTGAATATATGTTTTCCAATAGAAGACCTAATTCAGCTGAATATATGTTTTTCTATAGAAAACCTTATTCAGCCAAGCTGAATAGATGTTTTTCTATAGAAAACCTTATTCAGCCAGGCTGAATAGAAGTTTTCTATAGAAAACCTTATTCAGCCAGGCTGAATAGAAGTTTTCTATAGAAAACCTTATTCAGCCAGGCTGAATAGAAGTTTTCTATAGAAAACCTTATTCAGCCACGCTGAATAGAAGTTTTCTATAGAAAACCTTATTCAGCCAGGCTGAATAGAAGTTTTCTATAGAAACCATTATTCAGTCAGGCTGAATATAAGTTTTCCTATAGAAACCATTATTCAACCAGGCTGAATATAAGTTTTCCTATAGAAGCCATTATTCAACCAGGCTGAATATAAGTTTTCCTATAGAAACCATTATTCAGCCAGGCTGAATAGATGTTTTCCTATAGAAACCATTATTCAGCCAGGATGAATACTTATTCCTATAGTAATATATGTTTTCGTATAAAAAATCCACGTTTATATGTTGGATGGGCTTTGAAAGGTCTTTCCAAAATGCCCGCTTATAGCTCATATGATCCCTGAAAATATCAGTAGGTCTATTCTGTAACTTTTAACAACATTCGATATTGTTTAAATTTCTTTTGTTATTGTAAAAACAACAAAACAAACAAATGAAATAGTTGTAAAATAAACAATATCGAATGTTGTTAAAAAGTTACAGAATAGTCCTACAGGGACCTTTTTAAACCCTTGAAATTTATAATTAAGTTTTCTTTTTATATTTCTCTTGAATCTGATATTAATATTTTCCCATTTTTCTATTGCAGGTTACACATACGTCCCTTGGGTCTATTCTTTTTATTGATTTTCGGTTTTTGGTTTTATAAGACCCGCCTGAATATACGCATACAGACCCCGCCAGAATTGCAAAAGCATCTACAACAAATCGAACAACGTCTATTGGAGTGGCGTCAAACGAGACCAGTCATGTTCAGTGCTGTGGCAAGCGGTGCCTTAGGTGCTCTGGCCGTTGTTGGCCATTTGGTGACGGGTTCAATGGCTGTGCTGGCTGGCCTAATTGTTGCCGTTGTCATATCGACCAAATATAATTTCAAAATAATGAAAATTGAACCTAGTGGTGAGTGTGGCAGACACGTTGCTTTCAATTTAATTTTTTTAAAAAATTGGATTTCCCCTTTCAGAACTCACAGATTGGACCGAAAAGGTATATCCTGAAACCGAAATGGATGATGAATTTATGCCCGAAGTAAATGAGACCAATATGTTCCTTTTGGAAAGAGCCAGTGATTTAGCCTCATTTACCTCGCCTACAGAAGATTTGGAAAATGACGAAGACAAAAGCGACGAAGTACCCTCGGAGTTGTTAATACCCGACTCGATACCAGAAATTGATGAAAATTCCACAGACGAGGACCAGGATGATCTTATGCCAATTGTAAAGTCAACCCATTTAAGAGAAGAAACACCGGTGCCAAGCTCCTCCTCTGCCATCGCCACCAGCACAGTTAAATATACCCAATCGGGTGATGCTATTGAATTTAAAAAAGGTCACTTTAAACGTGACTCATCACTGTCGACCACATCATCCTCGTCGGAGGAGAGTCTGTCAAAGGGACTGCAGTTTCCCGATCACACAACAGTAGTAGATAGTAGTAGTAGTGCCAGAAAATCACAATCTTCCTCTACTGGCCACAATCAAGAGGTCAACGACATTATGACGTTGGCTGTGAAAGCACAAACTCAAGCTTTATTCAGTAATAGTTCGAAATTAATACCCACCCTGGTATCGGGTTTGGTGCAAAATGTCTTAGGTAGCACAGCTGGTACAGCGGGTGGTCCAATGGTAATACCTCCCAAACGGGTTTTATCGACAAATTTAGAATCATCGGATGAAAGTGATTTTGAAATTTTGGAAGATGAAGATTTCCAATAAGCCAATTTGGGTGGACACACGCATACATATTTTCAAAAAACATACATATTTAGAACATTTAAATTAAAACAACAGCAAAAATGAAGATAAACATAATACGAAAGAAAAATCTCAACAAAAAAATCTGTGAACATTTTCAAAGCGGTGCTACAATTGTTAAAATTAGATTTTTTTGATGTGAGATGTGATATGGTCCGTAAAGAAGGTCGATGGAATTTAAGGTTTGAATGAAAAAATGTTATAATAACCTTACTTTTTATATCCTCCATTATAAAGTGGATATTAAATATCTCATTTCGTAGAGACCCATAATAATTTATATATTATTGATTGGAATATAATTATATGTCCGTCGGTCTGTAAAAGTCGCTACAGTGCTTGCAGGAAGAGTTTGGAATTTTCCATATACATTGTTAAGATTCTTGGTATTGAAAATGGGTTATATTGATCCACGATATGGTGGATTTTAAATTAAATATTCATACCAAAAATTATAAATATCAGTCGATCCCTCCATAAAAAGATTCTGTCCGTTTATTATAAAAGTCCAAGTCTTTTCATTTACAAAGTGACAGCAATTCAGAAGTCCGGCATCTTCGTGGGTAAATCTCTTCTGCACAGAACATTTTCATTAGTAGTCAATATTTCTACATAGCCCCCATACAATCGTCAAGCGTAATTTTCGGTATATTCAAGCGCAATTTCAATCTGATTGTCTGCAGTGTGGTATTTCTCCTGACAGCAATTTTCCTTGGCGTAGCCCACATCAGAAAAATCCCGATCGGTGTTAGGTATTTTGAATGTCCACATTATGGTGGAGGGTACAAAAAATACGGGCCGGCAAACTTATCGACGATTTTACTTCTTTCATAAACTTCTATCCTCCTTGTTTGGAAGCCTTTAATATGGACTCATTTTAAATCACTTTGAGAGTTAAAAATATATTTTTTTGTTTGTAGCAACCGCCTTTTTTATTTTATTTGTTTTTATTATTTTATATATATTTAATTTCTTTGTTTTTGTAATTTTGTTAAGAAATCCCATATGACTGGATTTTAGGGTGTCTGTTTTCTTTCTTCTTTTCATTTCTTTACTACAACAAAACTAAAGAAAGCAATCATTTAATTAATAAAAAAACCTATCGTTCTTTAACATTTTATGTAAATTTAAAACTACAACAAAAAATATCATATTTTATTTTATTACCGTTTTTAATGCAGATGCTATATTTTTATTTATATATACAAATAAATTTATTACTTTAAGTTTTATGTTTGCTTTTTTATTTTTATTTTTAATTTTCTTTTATTTCTTTATCTCATTTACTTATAAAATGAAAAAACTACACAAACAAATGAATGAAACCATCAACAAATGAAAAAAAAAAACAAACAATTGTGATTATTTTTTACTGCTTAATATTATATATAAATAAGAAAAAAATAATAAAACAAAATACAAAATACGAAAAGTTTAAAATGTAAAAAAGTAAATAAATAAAAAGTACCAAAAAAATAATATGTAACTTTTTTCTTTAACTATTTCGATTTTTTTTTTATTTTAAGCACAAATTGAATGCCAAATGCCATCTGACTTTTTTATTTTCCTTTTCAGCATCAACCTCCTCTCACTCAGTTTTTATGATTTAATTTTGAGTTACTATTTTGTTTGATATTCTCTAAAAGCATTGAAAAAGAAACTAATTCGGTATCTTTCAATCGAAATTAGGAAATCCTCATACATTGTGTTACGTTGCAAATGTTCTTTTGTTTGAATAATTTTTTTAATAAATTTAAAAAGAAAATCAATCAGCTCGCCATCTTATTTTGGCGTAAGAAATGTTTTCTAATATTTATTTATTATATAAATAAAACACAATTGACCAGCAAAATGTTTAGTCTATAAGCAAATCAATTAGTAATTTTAAAGAAAATCGATCTCTAGTGATGACAAAAATAAATAAAAACAGAATATTGATGGCCAAAAAAATATAAAACAAATACAATGAAAAGAATAATCCAACAATATTTCTTTATGATTAGTGAACGTGTTAAAAAATATTGATAGAAAAATTTCCAAGCGCGTCGGTCTTGTGCGAATCTCATCCAATTTGAAAGACCATGTTCCGAGATGTTGTTTTCTACTTAATCTTTCCATCGGATTCGTGGCCTTCCCCTTCTGCGTGAACCATCACTTGGCCGGCTTTTATATGCCTTTTGAGTGGGGGAATCCTAATATCAACGTCTTGTAGATTGTGAGTTTTGTCTCACGAGAGGTGGCCTTGATTTTGAGTTGCTTACTCAGATCATAGTAGCATCTGTTGGCCAACACTATTCTCCTCCGGATTTCAAAGCTGATGATATTAGGTTTGTTTATGGCGGTACCGAGTTATACAATATCGTGCAGTACTTCGAAGCTGTAGTTTCCACGTTCCTTTGCGAATTATCCTGAATAGCCGTATTAATTTTGCAGCAAGGCCGTACGCAGACATGGCTTTAAACACCTCCGAACGAATAGGGCTATCGAATGCGGCTTTATAGTCGACGAACAGGATCTGGTGCAGAGTGAAAATCGGATCAATGGTGGATTTGCCACGCCTGAAGCCGCATTTGTATGGTCCAGTAATGTCATTGGCCTAATGGCAAATAACTGTAGAATGCAAGGACGACATAAAAAGGCTCTAATAGCCTTGGGATAATTAGTGGTCGGAATTGTGGATCCATCGATCTGCATATTCGGAGGTAACCGCATCTCCGCTGTCCATGTGGTAAATAGTGTGGCCGTTGATTTAGTGGCGAATAATTATATATTCCTGTTGATAGATAGCTGTTCAAGTGTCATAAATTTTTTGTCCTGACGCCATGAGCGTACAATTATTTGCTTGTGTAATGATCGTTGCGCCATTCGGTGAGCGTGGAATCTCAGAATGGTAAAGGTTTAACAGTTCATGAGATATGGGTGGAGGAATTGCTTGTGGTTATAAAAGTTTGACTGTCTCGTTTTCAATGATGTTAAAAATTTTTGTGGATGATAAGTGTATGTGGTGGATGTGGAAAATTGTAGATGGTTATTGGTGGAGTGACAGCTTGCTGGACTGTCTGAGTGTAAACAGTTCTCAGCGATGCAGCTAGTGACACTCGGTTGATGTCAAATGGAATGATTTCCTGGATGTCTTTGCTGTATCGCTTGATGTCCTTGCCGATGTGTAGAGGGGGTGGATCCTGAACCACTATATGGTGGTTGGGATGTATGGGCAGATGGCATTCCAGCAGAAACTGTCTGTGTTGCTCTGACAGTATCCTTGCCTCCTGACTCGTCATCTGGACACATCCGGTTGCGGTACGTAGAGCATTATACTGTGTATTTTGAAGCATTATCCTGGATGCCTTTGCTGTATCGCTTGATGTCCTTGCCGATGTGTAGAGGGGGTGGATCCTGAACCACTATATGGTGGTTGGGATGTATGGGCAGATGGCATTCCAGCAGAAACTGTCTGTGTTGCTCTGACAGTATCCTTGCCTCCTGACTCGTCATCTGGACACATCCGGTTGCGGTACGTAGAGCATTATACTGTGTATTTTGAAGCATTATCCATTGTGAATCTTTAATAAACGAAGTCCAATCTGGGCAGTTGTCCCATGTGGTGCTATCAAAGGTGACTCCTAGTTTCTGCTAGATTCTACCCTGAAAGCATCTGGCTACCGAAAATAAGTAGGAGTTGGGTTTGGCTTCGATTTCCCCGTGTACTCCAGAGGCAAGGAGCGAACAATCGTCAGCATATGTGAAGAGTTTAATACCATGTGGAAGAACGATGAATTTGGAAATCTGGAATTGAGAATGTTGGGCACTTATTCTTCCACTTTTCAATTTCTTTATTCTGGAATGTGCATTAATTTAATATTAATCTTTTAGTTTTTCAAAATAGTTATCCAACAATCAGTTACATATTAACTAAAATATGGTAACTCTGATGCCACTTCAATTTTTCAAGTGGTTGGCAATTCGTTGCAATGTTTGAGCTGTCAATGACTTTGACTAACACTGAGGCATTCACACGAACAGTGTGTGTGTCAACAATGCACAGTTCTCATGCAGTCTCTATCCCACTTCATTCGTAAATATTTCGTTATACTGCTTTGAGTTATTCTTTATCGACCATTTTGTCTTCTCCCCCATTCGTTAGCAAGTGGAACGTTTTTCAATTTTTGTGGTTGATAACAATTCAAACTACACGTGCGTTCAGTTCAGTCGCGTTAGGAAACAAATCCCACTTCGTCGGTCCTTGTTTTATAAAAAAGTAAATAAAAACATGCCTCCCATTGCCCAGGAAGGCAATTGCCTTATCTACCGTGGAAGTAATTTCTTCAAACAACGTCTAATACTTGCGGTATTGAGTGGAAAACCTGTGAAAATCACACAAATTCGATCTGACGACGAAGCCAACCCGGGATTGCGTGAATATGAGATTGGTCTCATCCGTCTGTTGGATAAATTGACAAATGGTACAAAAATTGAATTGAATCCTGCCGGTACCTCGGTGATGTTTGTACCCGGTCTACTACATGGTGGACAATTGCATCATGACTGTAGCTGTCAACGTAGTATTGGCTATTATTTGGATGTACTGATTGCTTTGGGACCATTTTGCAAGGTACCCCTCAACGTGACATTGCGTGGCATTACGAATAGCAAAGATTCGCCGTCAGTGGATCACATTAAAGGTGCAGCTATATCGGTGCTGAAACGTTTCTTGATTGTTGATGAAGGCCTCGAATTGAAAGTGGTAAAGAGAGGTGTCGCCCCCTTGGGTGGTGGTGAAGTTCTATTCAAATGTCCAGTACGTAAAACCCTGCGATCTATACAATTCCTCCAACAAGGAATGGTAAAACGTATACGAGGTACTGTCTATGCCTGTAAAGTGTCACCGGCCATGGCCAATCGTACTGTGGAAGCAGCAAAGGGTGTTATGCTGAAATTCTTACCGGATGTTTATATTTATACCGATCAAAATCGTGGTAAAATGTCTGGAAATTCACCGGGATTTGGTATATGTCTACATGCTGAGACCACTGATGGTGTGGTCTTTGCAGCCGAAGTAAATTCCCATACAAAAGATGAAGCGGGAGAAAAAGATCCCTCAGTGCCGGAAGATATGGGCAAGGAGGCGGCACTACGTTTACTCGATGAAATCTATCGTGGTGGTTGTGTAGATTCTGCCTATCAATGGCTTGTGGCGTTATTTATGACATTGGGTCAGAAAAATGTGTCGAAGTTTATGACGGGTATGTATAAAATAAAATATTTTTATGAAAACATTAACAAAAATATAGGAAATATATCATAGGACACTACCAAATTGAAAGTTTTTCCTGACGTGAATAGGAGGCGTGGCTATAAGCTATAAATTCGTTCCCAATAGCAATTGAGATATTAGCTGTGCTGAAAATACTTGCGTTGGTCTAGGTAGCTGATTCTTCTGCAGGTTTCCAAGACTTTCGAATACATCTACGCTAAATGTGTTCACGGGGATATCCAACTTATGCTTCGAATCTTGGGAATCGAATATTTGACTCCATGGGTTAAAATTCTGATCCGTTCGGTAGTACATGTTTCCAAAGTATGCATATTTTAGAAAGACGACATTGTAGCCAGAAAGAATTATAATAAGCAGGTCATTTACTACTAGATTTCGTTAGTCCGTACGATGTAAAATCGTTCAAATGTCGTGCTTGTAAAATGGCCAAAGGATATGTTTGTGTATTCGTTTGTTTCTCTACTAAGGCAATTCACTTGGAGATTGTTTCTAATTTTTCGACTGTCAATATTGGGCAGCACTTCATTGATTTGTGGCAATTCGTGACCGAGTGCCTATGATCCCTGAGCTGACGAGGCGAGAACGGCGCCCATAAATAACCATCTCAAAGGTCTGGGTTACTACCTCTTAAAGCGTCTTGTACTGGAACCTTCATTATTACTTCGTGTACTCAATTCAATTTTTTGTTATTCTGTGGTGACAATTTAAAGTTACATTCGTACTAGAAGGAGGAGGCCGATCGAAGTGCAATCGTGGGAAAAATGGGACATTGCAGATTGTTGGGCAGATTCTACAAAGATATATTTTCAAACTCACCCTATGTATAGAAACAACACGATTTGCTAATATGATCTCTATTCGGATACCTACTCAGGTTCGTAAAAGATTTTTAGAAATTTCCAAAATGTTGCCTCTTGTGGGTGGAAATTTCCTGGCACTACATTGTTTTTGTAAAAATAATAGTTTATACTAAGAACAGATCATATCCGATATTTTGTTCACAAGATATATTATTATTATTTCGGAACTGTCGATTTAGCTCTAATTTGAACTTTTGGGTTCTCATTAGTTGGCATATCTTCCGACCAAATATTATAAATATCGGTCCACGATTTGTTGTAGACCATAATGGTACACCGAATTGGTTCGAGTTTGGTTTTTTGGGCTCTCAGTGAGTTTGCTACTCACTGATCTACTATATAAATATCGGTATATTCCCACATAATGGATCAGCTCCTCAATTTATGTAGTTCGAGGGGCATTTTCTAACCGAACTTACTATAATTTGGCTTTTCAAGTTCTTGATTTTATTCATTTGTTTTATTTTAACAAGTGTCGACCGATATTCGACATCTTTAATTTAAGTTTAAAAGGAATATTACGACGTGCAATGTTTGGGACCTATAATTACGCTTTCATATGTTTTTCTATCGACAAAAATCTCACCATAATTCTTGGTCTAAAATAATGATTTCTATTAAAAATATCTATAAGAAATCTCAGCATATTTGTTTCTATTAAAAAGTATTGAACAAATACTAAAAATAAATATTATTTTTTAAAATAATCTCTTTTTTATACAAATAAATATCTCCGTTTACAGAGATGACATTTGCATCATAAATATTGAGGATCTTCTTCGTTTTCAGAGCCGTTTATTTCCAAAATATTATCCAATTTTTATTTAATTTATATATTTTTTAATTACAGGTCCATTGTCTGCATACACCGTTCACTTTTTACAACATTTAAGAGACTTCTTTTCAATTACCTTTAAATTGGAGAATCCTGAAACCGAAGATGATGACGATTCTGTTGCTGGTGCCCAAAAGGTACTGATGACATGTGTGGGAATTGGTTATACAAATATTAGCAAACGAGTTATATAAAATTAAATTAATTGTTCCAATTGTTAAACATAAGATTACAATTAAGTTTTATTTAATAGATATACATAAAACAAAATAAAAACTTTTTTAGTAAAAAGAAATTCTATTTTTTTTTTAAATATATCGTCAGTTCTGTGGACTATGTGGATGAGTAGATGTACAGATTCCCACAAGGACGTAGGATCTGTTGTGAAGTCTAAATTCAGACGAATTTAGAGCCTTAGGATTATGAGTTGCCGGCAAAAGCAACAACTACAACACATACAAATGTACAAACACCACAAGTATACGTGTAATACTCACGTGATGTTTAGCACAAATAAAAAGATGAATAACTTTAATTATAATAAATATTGTACTGTCAGGCGACAGGTTTATTATGGGTTTAATTTGGGTAAATATAAAGTTGACGATCAAGGCGATCCTTTAGGTTTTACTTCTTGTAGTAAGAGTGATTGGAGATGGGAGTTTCTCGATTTTGGTTCCCTTTTGAGATGGGAGGACACCGATGACTTACAAGTCCATATCGATGAGGTCTTCATCGGTGTCCATTGGTGTGGTACCCACGTACTGCTTGATGGCCGTGCGGCCGTCAACATCCTCCGCCCCTTGCACTGGTGCAACCTTCTGGCGATCCCAGGACCTTTATATGCTCCGAAATTTCTTGTAGGATCTTCTTTGTTGTCTCTTTGACTGTTAGCGAAAACTTAGAGGACCGCTTCAGGATTTTCCTTGCTTGAGGATAACGCGCTGCTGCCCGAGCTTGGGTGCTTTTAACTGTCTGACGTTGGTGTGTGTTGACCCGAAATTCGTTTATGCAGTATTTGTGTATCCGCACAGCATACTTCCTGCACTTCTGCTCCGTTCTGCAGGTTATAATCTTATGCTGCCTATAGCATACCAGACATTGCTCATGATCTATGTTTATGTTCTGGAAATAAATAGAACAAAACACAGAAAACCTTGACCACACGACAAGTGGTCCGTTATTAAATAATGATTTTTCTTCCCATAACACATAAACGACACAGTGGATGAGACTTTAATCATCCAATTAACTCTTTTTCGCCATATATCTTGTAGAAATATCTTGGCTCTTACGATTGGTTTTGGTGACAGACTGGCTTTATCGTATAATTTAGCCACGTTCAACCGAACTTTTCGTTTCGTTATTTCTCTTGCTATAGAGTATTGAATCGTTGTATACGAAAAATTGTGTATTAGTACATTCCATGGAATGACCAGAGTGTTGATAGCGCTACTATCATCGATTTTAATCAATTTCTCGTTTAGTAATTCTTCAAGAAATGTATGTGGGGGATTCGTAATTTTTTTAAATAGAAATCCGGCTGATTTCAACGTTTTTATTATTTCATGATCTGCTTGTAGTGCAGATTCGATTGTATGACCGCCTGCTAATATGTCGTCGACATATATTTCTTTTTTAAGTATGTTTGTAGCTAGCGGCCGCTCAATTTGCCATTCTGTGGCCTGCTGCAATAACGTTCTTATTGCCAGGAATGGCGCACAGTTAATACCAAATGTGTTTATTTCGTAATCTTCGATTTGTGCGGTTTCATTTTGTATATACAATATTCTCTGATACGGTATATCAGACTCGTGTACAAATATTTGACGGTACATCTTCTCAATGTCACCATTAAATACATATTTGTATAACCGCCAATTTAGAATTACAGACGTTAAATCGTTTTGTAACGTTGGGCCTGTATATAGAACATCATTCAATGAAAATGAACTATTTGTTTTGCAAGTCCCATTAAACACACGTGATGAAAATTCATTTAAAACGTATCTGTACGTGTTTACCAGCATTTTGTCTTTATTTAAGCTATTTATATATTGGGGTAAAGATTTGAAACGAGGTGATTCTAATAAAATAGATTGTTGATATTCTTTTTTAAATGGAATTTTTACACCAAATCTACCGCCCGGTCGACTGCACGTCTTTTTGTAAGAGTCTTCGCAGTACTCATTTAATACGGTCGGAATAGGAGTCCGTTCGACTTCCTCATGTTCCCCGAATTTTCGTGATAATGCTTCTATGTCTTCTTCACCTTTCGAAGATTCTTTGACTGTGGCAAATGCTATACTTTCGTTTGCTATTGGTCCGTATATATACCAACCGTAAATTGAATTCTGTGCTATCATATTACCTAGAATATTTTTCTTCATGCCGTTTAGCATTATTGTTGGAAGGATATCGCTTCCAATCAACATATCTACATGCGCTGATACCGCAAAACCAGGATCGGCTAGTTTTAAATCTTTAACTTCACTACAGTACGAGTTTGGAAGAGACCTAGTTGGAAGTAGACTAATAAGATTTCGTAGCACTATTACTTCGGATACTAGATTAAAAGAAGTGTCATCTGTACATAGTGTAATGCAACAAGATTGGTTTGCATTGGTGACTATTGTGTCACTTAAACCACTAATTTGGAAATCTTCGTTTCTGGTCGTAATACCTAAGCGATTAACCACTTTATCTGTCACAAATGACCTTTTAGACGCCGAATCTAACAACGCCCGTAATGTGAACCTTTGTCCGGAGTGCATAATTTGTACCAAGGCCGTCGGTAACATAACGTCACCGTGACTAATTGTAGCTAGTGTCTGAACGTTTGTACCAGACACTGCCCTTGACGAGCATGGCAATTCATTGTGTGATTCGTCGGTGGTGAAATGTGTTTCGGTTCGGGCATGACCATAATTGTTTTCACGCGCTACGTTATTAGCGCTCGATTGTTGTTGTGAATAGTTCGTTATATGCAACTTAGTATGATGTTTTTTCTTACATTGCATACATCTGTGCATACTGACGCATTCTTGGCTCGTGTGTCCACTCGCAAGACAATTGTTGCATAAACGTTTTTCTTTTGCAACTTCGATTCGCTGATTAGCTGACATGTTGTTAAATCTGGGACAGTTCCGAAGAATATGATTTTTTGCACATAGAATACATCTATTTGAATTTGTGTTCGTATTATATTGAGCTCCGAAGTTATATCGTGAAGATTGTGGAGCGTTCAGTGTTTTTATACGACTAATTCGTTCTAACACTTGTTGTCGGTTGATCAAAAATTCTTCCATTTGAGACCACTTTGGTAAGTCCGCATGTGACTCAAGTGACTGTTCCCATAACGTCAACGTTTCTATTGGAAGTTTTGTCGAACAAAGGTATATTAAAATTGGATCCCACTCGCCCACACTAATGTCGTGTGCTTTCAAAATTGCGAGACAATCGCTGATTGTTAATTGGATCCTTTTTATGTCTGCGTTATTTTCGTTTTTTGCGGGCGCTATTTCGAATAAAATCCGCAATTGGTTGTCTACCAAAACTCGCTTGTTTTCGTAGCGTTTCTTTAGTGCGTCCCATGCTAATGAAAAGTTTAGATCTGACAATGAGAATCTGTCTACGATTCTGCCAGCTTCACCTTTAGTTTTATTTTTTAGGTGATATAATTTTTGTGCTGGTGTCAGTCTGGGGTGATTGCCATATATGGCCATAAACATGTCCCTAAAGGTGGGCCATTCTTCATAGCTTCCGTGGAAATCTTTTGTATCACATGGAGGAACTTTAATACACACTTCTGACATGTCAAATGTGGTAGTTGGGGGATACATGGCCGAACTATGAAAAAGTGAAGGATTTGTTTGGTCTTCTCGTCCTGAACTGGTGGACTTTTGAAGAGACCTCTTTTTTACAACCTCCATTAAGTTCGATTTTGTTAATTGGTATTGATCCCGTGCGGATTCAAACTCCAATTTCGCAACATTTTTAAAATCATGATCGTTTTCGGACATATTTAATATTTTAGCACATGCTCCCATTAAGTTCTCCATGTCGAAGTGGAACCTTGCACAAATTACTTTTGCCATTTCTTTGATTTGTAATATTATTTATTTAACTTGAGTTTTATTATTTGTATATTTTTTTTATTTTTTTTTTATATATATTTATGGACTTTTATTATTTATTGTAATATTATTTGGGTCTATTTTGCCTTCGGTTAACTTTCTGCTTTATTATACAAATAGAGAGAAGTTAGAAAAAATTAAAAAATTATTAGGCTTTAATAGGGCTTTGCTCAACAAATATTTATTTTTTAAATTTTGAGAGCAATTTTATTATTATTTTATTATATTATTATTAGGTATTATTTGTATTATGTTTATTATTGATACTTTTATTTTATTGCTTATATTTTTATTTTATTTTTATTTGTATTTATTATAGAAATGGAATGCAATATAATGTAATGCAATTTCCACTAACGTTCGTTACGTTGAATTACGTTTGTTACGTTTAGTAACGTTTGTTACGTTTTGGTTGTTTACGTATATTACGTGTTCACTAATTGGACTATCGCCTTA